ACTTTACTTCGCGGCCGAGGCGGTTGAATAAAGCTGAAGCCCTGTCAGACAAGGAACTTCACTTCGTATGAATCGTGATACCAAGCGACCAAGACTACATTTGTCTCTGTCAACTAAGTCATCTCCATCTCTCCATTCATCAAAATCACTTGAATATCCAATAAAGTGAATTTTTACTTTATTTTCTATTTTGTCTCGGTCAACAATCTGCAAAGAAAATATTATCTATATCTTAGGACTATTATGATTCACTTTGACAAAATAACTTACGGTAATTTTTAGTACTTACTTGAAATGCTCACGGAAAGAAAGTTCCTGAAATAAAAATTATTTAACATTTTTTCAGAAGGATCCCAGTTAAACCATGAGTATTTGAGGCGACGAAAATTCCCTTCTAGGTTAACTTGCTAAATATCAGTACTGTTATATTTACTTACATAGCAGCAAGAAAGATGAGCCAAATAACTCTCACTAGCTATGGTCGACTATGCTATCATTTCATGTTAAACTGAAAACTATGAAATTTGTAAATTCCTTTATCTCTTAATGAACTTATTTCCTTCGGAAGAAGCTAAAATTATTAAAAAGAAGTGTGTTTTTATACCGCATGTATTACGTTACGAGGAAATTTATCAACAAGCAATCTCCGTACTTACCTAAATTGGATACATTTTCTCCTGATCAACTTTTTCCGGTTTTTTGGGACGTATCTTCTCGGCTTTGAGACGAAAGTGGCTTTTTATTCCGAGATAAAAGCCTTCCACGGGACGAGTGAGCTTTTCAGCCGCCATTTTTTTTGTCTACTTTGTTCAGCCCCAGAGCCCGCTCATTCAAACTGCGCAGGAGCAGGACCAATTTTTCAGTCTCGAGCAACTGTCTTCCTCAAAGGGGTCATTTTTTGGAATGACAAGTACAGTTTTCCAATGTTGGAAGAATGGATGAATAAACGGACCTAAGAACAGAGAAGCGAATTAACGAACGAAAAAGTGGACGAACAAACAAATAAAACAATGAATGAAAGAATGAATGAATGAAGAATCAAGGTAATAAAATAAAGAGCAAACTGTCGAACGAATGAATAAAGGGACGAAAAAACAAAGGGGGATAAAGGAAGACTCAACGATCAAAGGAACAGGCGAACGAAGAATTGTGTGGAAGAAAAGACGATAAACTGTCAAAACGAAAGAAACGATGGAATCGACGAACTAAGAACAACCAATGGATAAATCCGTCGATAGATGGACAGACGTGGGGGCTTGGGAACCAAAGGAAAGGCAAATAATCACTCAGTTAGTCAAGCAGTCAGTCAGTCCGTCAGTCAGACAGTGAGTCAGTCGGCCAGTTAGCCAGTCAGACCGAAAGACAGACAGATGAACGTTCTCTATTAACTTAGTTTTGGTACGAGAAATCCTAACATTATCGAATTGTTTCTAATCAGATCTCACTGGTTCACCATGGCTAATAACATATCGAGAGGCCGATTGCCGCCATTGATGAGAGAAGCGCTGGCTGAGTTTATGGCAACATTTATCTTAGTGGTTAGTATTAGTAGTCTTAGCATTATTTTTATAATATTATATTATTATTTAACCTATTGGACATTTTACCTTTTAGATAAGCTTGTAAAGCTGATTTTTCTTCGATGTTTTATATTTTAATCGAATTTATGTAACATACATTGTAAAGCACGATTCGACATTAGGGACTTTAAGCAGTCAGGACGGAAACGCCACGGAAGACGTCGATTAAAAAATGAGTTTCTACTTTTGGTTAGAATTTCGAAAATGGCTGCATGTGTTTACCGCCTCATAGGGCGCCAGACCTCAAACTCAACCTAACGCATAAAAGTAGCGTTGAGTTCCAAATGCAAATTAAAATAATTTGCCGCCGCGGTTTCGGTTCGCAGACGACGCGAATTTTGGTGATTTCACGTTGTTGTT